AGATAGTGAAGAGGGTTGCACAACCTGTGATTATACTAAAAACCAATGAATTATAACCTCTAAAAGGGTGAATTGTATGGTAAGTGAATTATATCTCAGTTTCAAAAATGGCTTTATTGGAAGATTCTTTTTGTCAGGATAATTTAAGTAAATAAAATATATAGATATTGGGGGAACTTAGTCACATGGCTACTCCTCCTTTCAAGGGTGGGGATGTGTTTCTAGAAAACGTAGCTCAGCTAGAACTCCATCACCCTGGAGGAGGGATGTGGGTTTTGGAAGACAGCTAGCAACCGCCAGCGGCAAAGCTGCAATTGGGACATAGGTCTTGGTGTCCTGGTCCAATTTCTTTTCATCTCTGTCCCTCTAAGGAGACTGATTTCATAAGTGTAATCAAGCAAGCTGCTGAGAATAGGCATATTTTTAAAACTAAGATAATATTTGTCTACTAACAGTGATACCGAGTAACCTAGGAAGTAGCCAAGCATTTATCCCCTTAGATGTAAAGATTGCCCTCGTAAAGGATGCATGGGCGTGTAAATATACGTACGATTTTAAAGGGAAAGGGGCAGTTCTAGAGATTTTCCAGGGAACTAGGATTGTACAACACCTCTTTAAATAGTGTAGTGGGTGATGGCCTTCTGCATTTTTATGAACAAAGGTGTCATTCGTGAGCCTTGACTGGCTCCCCTGGTTGGGACAGACTCAGGTCGCGTGCGGGTGTGGCGCCACCTGTCTGCAGGCGGACCGTGCTGCGTGGGGCCGCAGGGCTCCAGAGTCTTGGTCGCGCCCTGGCATGCTAATTTCAGGTAGGACAGGCTACTAGGCAGAGCTAGCCTAGCGCTCTCTTTCTTTCTTTGCTAGTGAGGGTTGGGAGTCCTTTTGCTTTCTAAACATTTCTTAAAGTTTGAAAATTTCAAGGAATTAATAATTTTTACCTATTAAACCAGAAAAGATAAGTTTAGTGAGGAGATTCATGTTAGAATGGAAATACAGAAAAAAATATTTATATCTTCCAGGTTCTGAAAATTGGTGTGGTTTAGAAACTGAAATCTCAAATGTTTATGGGGGCCAGGCAAGTAATTTTAATAGACAAGAGGATGATTAACTGGGATTCTGGCAAAATGAAGCATGGCCCTGACTTAAGACAATAAACAGCAACCACATCAACAAGAAACAAATGCGTCCACTGTGTGGGCCAGTGAAAACCAGTGTGGGGCCAAGTTCAGCCTGGGGCTACCAGTTTCTGGCGACTGCTCGCTTGACTGGAATGCAGTGTGGAAATATGCAACAAGGACTTTAAGCTTTATCATATGCTATTACCAAACAAATAAACAAGAAAAAAACACGGGGAAAAAATATGAACAGAAAATGTTCTTAGCTGTTGTATTTAAAGAAAAAACCTGGAATATAATAAATAATAAATGCAAAATAATAAATGCATATGAATTACAATATACGTTAACAAAGATTGGAAAAGAATTTAGAGTGATGTAAATAATTTGGTGTTCATCAGATTGTTTATTCCCTGATAAGTAGATTAAATTTACCAGGAAGAGAAAGAAAAAATAGGTTCCTCTATCAAGGCCATCAGTAAGACTTGCAGGTGTCTCTCAGATCAGATCCAGCTCAGCACAGGCATGACTTACTGACAGGTTATGACTCTGTCCTAGAAGTTTTCATTTTGGCCTGAAAGAGATGACTTGGCGATGCACTCTGGTGCACGCTGATACTTTGTTCCCACATCAGAATCCTGTTTTTCTTTTCTCCTGCTCACCCTGCTTTTAAATCTGGATCCAGGGTGTCTCCAGTCCCAAACTGCGTCAGTGACCCCTCCTTCCATGTCAGTCGTGAGTGGAAGCTGAACCAAGTTCCTGAGGGGTCATGTCGGAAAGTGGCAGGTTCTCTGGCCTCTTCGAGTGTCAGGAATGGCCCAACTTCAGGGAGACTCTGGGCCCTGCAGGCTCTGGAACTGTGGGCTGGCAGCCAGAGTGGGTGTCGCAGTTGCCATCTGCTGGCTGTCAGGGGTCTGCCGTGTGTGGTGACCAGAGTCCTCACTCCCCTCTTTGTCCTTGTTGGCGCAGCGGGACTCCCCCTGCGTCTCCTCCAGCGACGGGCCACACACAGTCCGTGTGGCGATGGCTGACTGTCCAGGAAGGAGTCTTGGCATGAGAACAGAGACTCTCAGTTCCTCGCAGCTTTGGGGTGTGTGCTGCGTTGGCACAGGCTGTTCCTGGCTTGATTTGTGTCCAGAGACCACCTTTAGCTTGGTTGGTGAGGGCCTGATTTGGAGGCTCCAGGTGATTGAAATGAGTTCAGATATTATCACATCTTTAAAAGAAAAAGTAGGTAACTTCCCATGCTGCTGTGAGGTGAAACTCTCTTGGGGGCATGGGTTGAAAATCAGTGCAGATCCCAGATCTGTCTCCTGAGATTTCGCTTCTTGGCTGCCTCATCTTCACTGAACTTTCTAGAAGTTGCTCTACAACAATTGGTACAACTCAACAGCATCTGAGTTCTCACTCAAGGGGCTGAATTACTTTGTGCCTACCCATCTGGACTGAGAAGTAGATGCATCCTTTCTTCTCGAGCTTGGTCCAGGCAGGACTGGTGCTTCTGCAGGACTTGGCTGGAGATCCTGCGCCTCGTCGGGGTCAGCTTGACTGCGTGGGGCAAAGCGCTTAGGTCTGTGCTCCTGTTTCCTTCCCTCCGACTTAGCTCTTAGACTCACGTGTTCAGGCCGTTTCCTGTGGTCATTTTGAGCCAGCAGCACCGCGCCGCTCTGTGAGAGTCTTGCTGTGTGTGGAGCGCTGTCCGGCTGTCGCCGCCAGGTGCCAGGGGTCGCCTTCCTGAACGAGGGGGTTCCCTGTCTGCTCGCAGCGATAGCTTCCAAGTGGTCTCCCTACATCCACTGCGGCTCCTTCAGTCCGTTCCGCGCTCAGCAGTCCCAGTCACCTCTTGGAAAGTGACCTCTGGTCACTTCGCTTTAGCTGAAAAGCTTTTTGTGACTTCCAGGTGCCTTTAGGCTGCACAGGACGCCTCTAACCCTTTGCACTCGCTTGCTTTTTTCTCGATTCCTTCATTCTACTAGGGATTTAATTTTTTAAATACCCCAGATTTTACAAAGCACGGCAGTAGAATAAAAAACTGGAGTTTCTTTTCATACAAACTTATTTATTTGGATTTTTTAATATTTCAAATTATTGATACATTAAAAGAGTAATTTTAATCTCTATAATCTTTCATGGTGTGATATTTTTTGAAATATTCACCCACATGAAGACTTGGTTTACATTCACATGTTCCGCAAATATAAATCGTCTCTCTTCTTCCTCCTTTGATTTTTCTGTTAGAACAAACAACACAATCTTTGTGATTTTTGTTAGGGTGAGGTGTGATTGTATGGAGATTTCCATCTAAACGTTGCTCTAAGTTAGTGGATAATAATCTACCCTTGGAAGTTAGTGTACCGTCTCTGCATTTACATTTTATTTGTCCTTTCATGCTAATGAAAACAAGAAAAGATACTGGAAAAATAGACAAAACCCCCCTTCCCCCGTGGTGAAACTACGTGTCGAGTGTGGCTCCACATACGAGCCGCTACCGATGCCAGCCGTGTGGAGTCACACTCGAGGTCCGAGTGCAGAGGGCTAACGGGCTTCTCTTCCCTGGCCCTGGCCTCCCGGGCTGCCTTCAGAGCGCCGCGGCCCCGCCTCCTCTCCCGCGCCCCGTCCTTTTGGCTGGGTGGCTCTGCCCTCTCTGTTCCCCCTTCCTCTTCTAGGCCATCCTCACTCCTCAGCTAGGCCCTGTCCCTGCTCTGTGAGCTCATAACACCGCACCCCGTAGCGCTGTGACTGTTTGAAATTGCCGTCTATTTGTGTGGTTCTTTGATGGCAGCTTTTCTTCTACACAAGCTCCGAGAGGGAGGGTGGGAGGGTGTTTGCTGGGAGGGACGCCGCCATGACCAGCGTGTAACACACACTGCAGGGGCTTCTTAAATATTTATTGAGTGACCACGATCTTGCTTCCCTTCTGGAATTCTATGGCTCTGACTCGGGTACGTTGGAACCTCGCCTGTGACTTCCCCATTGGTCAGCCACGGCATCTAAAGCCTCTGCCTTTACCTGAGCTTTCCCACTTTTGCAGGAAGGTCTCTGGGCTGGGCTCCTAGCGGCCGTGTACACACCATTCTTTTTCTTCCTCTTGACAACCCCAGCCCTACTCTGAGGCCAGCCTGCTCCCCGGCTGGAATCCTTGCATCTCTGGTCACCTCTTCAGGGCCCCCTGGGTGACCCCTGCATGGGACCCTCCTGAGCTCAACTCCACGCCAGGGACATGCGGCACATACAGTGTCGGAACAGCGGCAATAAGAAAGACTGACTTTCAATGCTGACGACAGTAGCTAAGGGTCCTGTATGAAGTTCTTTAGCACCTCTTTAACAAGAACTAAATTTTCCTGTTTCCTTGCTACAATTTACCATCTGTTCTGCTATAATGAAGGATTTGCATTTATGCGAAATCTTACATTACAAAAATCATGATATAAAAACAATTGTTTGATTAGAAAAAAAGGGTTAGGGATTGGATAATATCCATTTCATAATAATAATGTTATTTTTCCTACAGAATTTTTTCTAATAAAAGCTTTTTAAATAGCTATGAATATATTAGCAAAATCCATCATTGAAAAACCTTTGATTATAGATAGCATTTGTCTGGAATAATAATCTTTGTTTTTCTTCATTGCCTACACTGCCTTTTACATCATCATGTTTCATTTGTCACTCATTGTTACAACAAATCAAACACCAAGCCTCCTGGACAACTGCTGTTAGAGACAGCAGTTTCCATCATGCCAAGTCTAATGGCATTCCTAATGCTAATCAAATGCCCTAACTTATCAGATTGGTTTTTTGAAAAAACTCAAGCCTATAGTTTTCTCAGCTCTAGACCGCCTGCGTGAGACAGTAACCCTGTGTGTGGGTGTCTCCCTGACTCAGGTGACGCAGGCCCAGTGTGTCAAAACAGAAACCGAATTCTACCTCCGCAGCCGCAGCGAGATAGTGGAGCAGCAAGGGCACACCATGGGGGCACTTTACTGGCAGTTGAATGACATCTGGCAGGCTCCTTCCTGGGCCTCTCTAGGTAAGTGTTCCGGCACATCCTTTCTGTGGATGACAGGAAGCAATCCCTGTGGGGAGAGGGACTGAGGAGTCAGATAGCCCGTCTCCACTGCTGCCACCACACCCACCTGGCTGTTCTCTCCATGCACCCCCGAGGCAGCCTCATCGAGCGTTCAGTGCTGCACAGTCACAGCAGCTAAGAAGGGGATAGGCTCCTACACAAAGGTATCAGTCCTGTGTCTTGTGATTACCGCGTACAAGTTCGAATTTATTTAAGAGGACTTTCCAGGGCCGAAGGATTATGGACTTAAGCATCCCTTCCGTGTCGGAGAACCCAGCCTGGCGGAAGGGGGCCGGATTCAGTGTGCACGTGCCCCTTTCTCTGACTCCCCTCTAGGACCATGAGGTCATCGCTGCGATGCCCTGTTTAGCTTTGGGGGAAGGGCAGGAGAGTCAGAAACCCAGATGGGAAAGGGCACCAGCTGGACCACTTCCCCCAGCCACAGGCGAGACGACCGGCCTGGAACTTGCATTTGAATCATCTCATCTCTTTTGGCACATTGAAAAATATTTTAGGAATAATAATGAGTTTTTGGCCTTCACTACAGCTTATTTGCAGCAAAGTTCAGTTAATAGTAATATAAGCAATAGTTCTGAGTCAAAAATGAGGCAAGGCCATAAAGTAAAAGGCCGTTGTGCGGGGCGAGGCTTTTAAACCGGCTGCGAGTGCAAACCCAGGTGTGCGCCCCAAACGGGCTCCGTCGGCCGCACGCGCGAGGCGTGCCGGGCACCGGACTGTGCTCAGGTGTGTCGGCCCACACTCCTCATCAGCACCAAGCAGATAAAAGAGCATCGAATACGAGTCAGGGTGGGCTGTGGGGGAAGCCGCCTGCGGGGCCGGAGGGACACTGTTCAGAGACCCTGGACGCCGGCCCTGCTTTCCGTCTGTGGATGAAGTTGTGGACTTTTGCAGCTGAGTTTGATTCAAGAAATCAGAGGGGCCCAGTTTTTGTTAGTCTTCCTTTAAATGATTGCACATATTTAATAGATTATTCCAGTGAGTTTTGCAGAAGGGTAGGTCTGTGGAAAAACCACTCAAACTCAAAGTGTTTTTTCTGTCCTCTTACTCCACAACAATAATCAGCACAGAAGGTTTCTGTGCCAAGTGTGTGAGGGCTTCTCGCCACTGTGAGGCAAGCAGCTCTGCAGTGGACCCCAGCCGGTGTCCTCTAATTCAAGTCCCACAGTGTCAGATCCTGCAGGCTGAGGGCTCCGCCCACAAGACACACCCCTTTTCGACAGCAGCTGCAAGCGGGGGTGGGGGATTGGGGGGCCTCTGGAACTTCTGACCTACCGCTTCAAGTTGGGGTTCCCACAACCCCCTCTTTGGGTTCCACTGGTTTGCCAGAGCGGCTCACAGGACTCAGAGAAACACTTAGGTTTACCAGCTTATCCACAAAGGTATTTTAAAAGATACATACATATGCAGTGGCTCACGCCTGTAATCCTAGCACTCTGGGAGGCCGAGGCGGGAGGAGAGGCGGGAGGATCATTTGAGGTTAGGAGTTCGAGACCAGCCTGAGCAAGAGCAAGACCTCGTCTCTACTAAAAATAGAAAGAAATTAGCTGGACAACTAAAAATATACATAGAAAAAAAATTTAGCCGGGCGTGGTGGTGCATGCCTGTAGTCCCAGCTACGCGAGAGGCTAAGGCAGGAGGATCGCTTGAGCCCAGGAGTTGGAGGTTGCTGTGAGCGAGGCTGATGCCATGGCACTCTAGCCTGGGCAACAGAGTGAGACTGTATTAAAAAAAAAAAAAAAAAGATACATGTGAAAAGCCAGATGAAGACGGTGAGACTGGAGGGTCCTGAGCACAGCGGAGCTGGGTGCCACCCTCCTGGCATGCGGGTGACTTCTTGCTCCCCTCCTGTCAGCCTCCTGTGTGAAGCCATCCAGAAGCTCTCTGAACCCTGTCTCTTGGGGCTTTTATGGAGACGTCATTGGACAGGTATGAGGGACAACCGTGTAGAAACGCGACTGCACTAAAGGGTGCGATGGAATGCTGGTAGCCGGAGTGGAGACACTCAGCAAGTTGTGTCCATTCAGGTTCTTCTTGGCCTCTCTGTGCAGCATTTGTTCCCCCAGGGCATAGGGCAGGACCTCTTCTGAAAGGAGACTCTTATGACGGTCATCAGAAAGGCAGGGACAGATTAGAATTCTGCCTTGGGCAGGTGAGAGGGGCAGGAGAAGGTCAGACAGACAGGTTCTGTTTTCCGAGGCCTGCCTAAGTGCCCCACGTTTATAACAAAAGACTGTAACAAGGGCAGTGGGAGTTGTGAGCCAGGAACCCTGGACAAAAGCCAGTATATGTCATAATATCACTGTAGGTAAAGCCAGGTATAAGGGCATGATGGCAGATCAAGAGTGTGGCTATATCTAAACTCTGGCTGGACCCTGGCCTGGGGAGGGTTACCAGCTCCTTGTACTTGCTAGAGAACAGGAGCCATGGAGAAGTGGTGACAAGTTATGCTGTACCTGCTCCTGCTCTGGGCAGCCTCATGGTCCCTGTTTAACTCTGTTTATTTGGCTGGATAAGTCCACTGCTTACAGTGCGTGCAGGTGAGGGAGGTATGTGCCATCTCTTACCACCTGGAATGGTGATAGTAGAGAGATGAGTGGCTAATTCTTACACACTTTCATGCACCTCATAACATTGCAGCCAGTGCTGGATTGCATATATGGCAGTAGTCTCCTGAAGTTATAATACCGTTATTTTTACTGCACATTTTCTATGTTTAAATATGTTTAGATACATAAACACTACTGTGTCACAGTTGCCTACAGTATGGTGACATGCTGTATAGGCTTGTAGCCTAGGAGCAGTCGGCTGCAGCGTAGCTGTGCAGCAGGCTGTGCCACCCTGTCTATGTAAGTACACTCTATGATGTTTGCACAGTGACAAAACTGCCTAACGATGCATTTTTAGACTGTATCCCTGTTAAGTGACACATAACAGTATTTTATTTTTAAAAATTGGTCTAAATTTATGGTTATAATTTTGCAAATATAAAAATCCACCTGGGAATATTGCTTGGTTCATAAACTTGGAAAGTTACAGACCTAATGGTAAAGCCAGAAATCACATAATATTTTTAGCCTGTTATGAAGAGTATTAGGTTGGCATCCAAACTTTATTATTGATTACTCACTTGGGTTGGTGTCCTCGTCTGTTTTCTGTTGCTATAACAGAATCCCACAGACTGGTCCATTTAGAATGAACGGAAGTTTATGAGGCGAATGGTTCTGGAATCTGGGAAGTCCAAGTCCAAGAGCGATGGCACCCACGCTGCATTATCCCCCGGTAGGAGGGAGAAGGGCGAGAGCTTGCGGGAGTCAGAGAGTAAGACAGGGCAGAACTTGCTTTTATAGCAAGCCCTTCTCCGCACAGCGAGACTGCTTGTGCAAAGAGCACATTGCCCGTCACAGGAAGGCGGAGCCCTCATGGCCTCAGCACCTCTGAATGGGTCCCCACCTCTCAATACTGTCACAGTTGGCTGTTCCATGTCAGCGTGAGCTTTGGAGGAGACGTTCAAACCGTAGCAAGTATGTATCCGTGAGACCTTTTGGTTCCATTCCTGTTCACTTGGGTGTGTTCTGTTCGTGGCCTTGACCTCTGAACCACACATGTAGAGTCTGCTCCCGTAACGGGACATCACACTCATGGGTGTGTGAGTTACCTCAGGTCTGAGCCATTTTCCATTTACGAGAAAGTTTCCCAAATACAAGTTCTAGTTGACTCTGTAGATCCAGTAGGAAAGGCCTGTCCGTACTACCCCATGCCCCGCTGCGGCTGCTTGAGGAGGCACTAAGAGTTGGGATTGAAGTGCTGAGAGTTGATAGTTTGCAAAACTCTAAAGAAATTAGTTTTATCTGAACTTCAAAAGTCCGTTCCTCTGTCTCAACAAGTTGCATGGTGCATTCTGGCCCCTCTCCCTTTTTCTGTCTCTGTTTCTCTGTCTCTCTCTGTCTGTCTATCTGTCTGCCCCTCTCTCTCTCTCTCTCTCTCTCTCTCTCTCTCTCTCTCTCTCTCTCTCTCTCTCTCTCTCTCTCTCTCTCTCTCGGAAGTAAGTTATTTGGTGACGCAGTGCTTTGTGGGATCATTTTGAAATAGAGGAATGTTGAGAAAAGGAGATGTTGAAAGATTTTTAAGTTAATGGGTTTAGCACACTAGACATGTCAAGACACAGAATTTTACAGATTCTTGACAACTTCTAATTGCATTTGTGGAACTGTCATTATTGCCATTGGTTTCCATGCTTTCCTCCAGTCTGACCTTGCCAGCCATATTTGCACAGTGGCTGTCTTGATTTGCTCGGAGGGTTTTATGCCTGTGGAGAAAAGCAGCTTTGAGTTCTAAGTCAGGCCTGTGAATGGACATCTGTGACAGGCGCTCACCGCCAGTGCTGCCGCTACTCATCTCCCTCTTCATGCATGTGCGCTAAAAAGGAACATTGGTGTAATGAGCTCCTGAAAGCAGAATTGTGTTTGAGAAAGGCTAGGTAGGAGCCAGATCTGGACTCACAGTACTGCCTCCAGCGTGTCTGAATCACCTGCCTCCATTTCCTGCCGTGTGAGGTGGGCTGGTAATGCCTGCCCTACCCTTGTGGGAGACAGTGTCCAGAACGCTCGGAGGCCTTAACACAGGCGGGTGTGTCCCGCTGTTGACTGTCCTCTGCGCGCTCACTCCCTGGAATATGACAGCCGTGGGGATCCTGCTGGGCCACGCGGACTCTGACAGCATGCGCTGGCCGTCTCCTGATGCTCTTGCTTATTTTCAGAGTACGGAGGAAAGTGGAAAATGTTGCATTACTTCGCTCGCCATTTCTTTGCTCCCTTGTTGCCAGTGGGCTTTGAGGACCAAAGTGTGTTCTATGTCTATGTCGTGTCAGACCTTCACTCCAGCCAAACCGTGGCACTCACGGTGAGTTACTTGGGTTTTTTTTCTCTCTACAATAGAGGGGGACTTTTAGACTATTTCTTCAGTTGTTTGGTTATATTTTTCATTTGGGAAAAATAAAAGAGAAATTAATTTGCAGCCAGAATCCATATAGTCAGGTTAGATAGAACTCTTGCTATTTATTATGTGGCCTTAAGCAAAGCCCTAAATATCTTAACAAGTCAATTTCTTCCTCTGTAAAATGATACCAGTCTACCTTTTTAAAGGATTTCTGTGCATATGCAAACAAATTATGCAAACGGTAAGGTGCCACTTAAAAGTAAGGTTCTTATAGTTATGAGAGGTTGGAAGTAGTCCAAAGTTTGCAGAAAGAAATGATGAAAAATGATATGTTAAAGTCAAAGTCGATAAAACTATTCAGGATGGGGCTGTGGAAAAATAAACTTGTATTTGAAACAAATTTAAGTAAAAAGAAAGAGTAGAAACTCAAAGTCTTTGGTGGCTACACTTGGAGGACACTAATAATACTGAAAATAGGTCACATTTATAGAATAATTGCAATGTACAAGGTGCTGCACCTTCCATGGATTATTTTCTTAACTCCCACAGCAGCCTGTGAAATGAGCGCTGTTACTGTTCTCGCTGTGGGCCCGGGGAAGCGGAGCCGAGCAGCGGAGGATGCGCCACAGAGCTAGTGCCTCGCGGGGCTGGGATTAGAACTCGGGTCCCAGGTCTCTTCGCCACTTCCGCCGTTCGGACTGTCAGCTGTTGCTGCTACTGCTGTTCCCTAAAGCACAGTAACCGCCCGAATGTCTGTGTCCGCAGGTGCGGGTGCACGCGTGGAGCTCGCTGCAGCCGCGGTGCGAGCGCGTGAGCCCGGGCGTGGAGGCGGGCGCGGGCCGGGCGGTGCGCGCCTTCGCGGAGCCGGTGGAGGCGCTGCTGCGGTGCGCGGGCTGCTCGCGCGAGCGCTGCCTGCTCTCCTTCCACCTGTCGGCCGGCCGCGAGCGCGTGGGCCCGCTCAACTACCACTTCCTGTCCTCGCCGAAGGACGCCGTGGGGCTCCGCAAGGCCAACATCACCGTAAGCGCGGGCGGGCGCCGCGGGCGGGCCTGGGGGCGCCGGCTGCCTCCCGCTGCGGGTGGCCGTGACACCAGTCCCTGCTCTAGGGTGTGTGGGAGCTTCCGTGCCGCCGCCCTTCCCCGGTGGCGCCCTCACCGAGGCGGGGAGGGCTGGAGCCTTCTGGGTCCTGGCTCTGTCCTGGGGGTCTGCACGGCCTGGGGTCTGCACGGCCTGCGGTCTGCACGGCCTGCGGTCTGCACCGCCGCCCTGAAGCCGGCAGAGGCGCTTGGATTCTGATTCCAGTGGAGTCTATCCATACGCACTCTACTATCTTTGATTTATTGCATCAATCACCAGATCTCCTTATGATTGCCAGGAAAAAGACGTGTTGTTATAAAAACTGTAGCCGGAGAGTTTGAAATTTGTCTAGTTGATTGGAAAACTTTTCTTCCTTTTCCCTCTACAGATAGTAATGGGAAATATTTTTTTATGAAGTTTCATTCCCTGTTTTTAGCATATTTAAAATTTATTTTAAACTTTACTGCATCGGATTTTCTACATTTACTTTATTGTTTTATTTTATTTTTGAGACAGAGGCTCACTGTTTCCCAGGCTAGAGTGAGTGCCGTGGCATCAGCCTAGCTCACAGCAACCTCAATCTCCTGGGCTCAAGCAATCCTCCTGCCTCAGCCTCCCCAGTAGCTGGGACTACAGGCATGCGCCACCATGCCCAGCTAATTTTTTCTATATATATTAGTTGGCCAATTAATTTCTTTCTATTTATAGTAGAGACTGGTCTTGCTCTTGCTCAGGCTGGTTTTGAACTCTTGACCTTGAGCAATCGCCACCTCGCCTCCAGAGTGCTAGGATTACAGGCCTGAGCCACCGGCCCGGCCTACATTTACTTTTGACATAATCATATAAACACACCTAATCCTTGCACTAGCAACTGCAACCTTATCTTTTTTCCAAATTTATAGCCAAATACTCATATAATAAAAATCTGTTATCTATAACAATTGATATAGAACAGATTTGAAGGAAATGACATACACGTACATGTATTTTTTTTTCCCCAGAAAAATGTACTGGACAAATGTGTGGTCTCTAAACTTATGATTTTGAAAACAAATTTTTTTTTTTTTTTTGAGATAGGGTCTTGTTGTGTCACCCAGGCTAGGGTGCAGTGACATCAGCCTAGCTCACTGCACCCGCAAACTTCTGGGCTCAGGTGATCCTTCTGCCTCACCCTCCCGAGTAGCTGGGACAATATGTGTGTGCCACCATGCCCAGCTAATTTTTCTACTTTTTGTAGAGACAGGGTCTTGCTCTTGTTCAGACTGGTCTTGAACTTCTGAGCTCAAGCGATCCTCCTGCCTCAGCCTCCCTAGTAGCTGGGAGTACAGGCATGTGCCACCACGCCCGGCTAATTTTTTGTATATATATTTTTAGTTGGTCAATTAATTTCTTTCTATTTTTAGTAGAGACGGGGCCTTGCTCAGGCTGGTTTTGAACTCCTGACATTGAGCAATCCGTCCGCCTCGGCCTCGCAGAGTGCTAGGATTACAGGCGTGAGCCACCACGCCTGGCCGAGATTTGTTATTTTTAATGAGATATAATAGTAATGTCAGTTAACATTTATTTTGGGCTTATAGGTGCTAGGTACTTGACTATACTATCCCCAAAGAGCTGCCAGAAACTTGTTCTGCTTGTCCCCCTGAAGCCGGGGCATACACACTTAAACCCTAGGCCCTGCAGTTACAGGTACAGAGTGAGATTTCTAATCCAGAGAGTTCCTTCTGGCCTTGACCTTGGAGCAGCAATAGCTGAGGCTGCTGGGGTGACCGGTGGGAACCTCATGCCTGTGGCTGCTTTAGGGCATTCCCTGGAGCAGCTGGTGGTGTGATCTGACATCTGACTTCAAGCTCGAGTCTCAGACCCTCAGGGGCTCCCTAATACACTTTGTTAGGTTTCTTTTCTTCTATCAATATAGGTTTTCTTGTTTATAACTCAGAATTCTGAATGATAAACAAGAAAACCTATACTAATAGAAGGAGAAAAGAAACTTTATTAAGTATATCATAGTAGGGCTTTTGCAAACGCCTGGCAGGCTGCTTTCTAGATGGCTGGATCTTTTCAGGAGACGCTAATATAAGTTCCATGGTTGTGCTTTGCAGCTACGTCCAGATAGATCCTTAGAAAGTCATTTAAACCACCCAGCCCTTATGCAGAAATGTTCCTCTCTTGATGATACTGGAGAAAAACTGTAAAAGATAGAAAGCTTTGAGCTTTGTGTGAAATGTTCTCCTTAATAATTGGAGACTACACATGTCCTCGGCTTGAGATTACAATTCGGTAATTTCTCACAGCGTAAAATCACTTTCCACGCGCTGTTTGGTGCCTGCAACTGTGCATGGAGTATGTGAGTTAGCAGTTGCAGACTCAGAGTTGCAGGAAGCGCCCGCGGTGTGCCAGGTGAACGCTGGCGGGACGTGTGCAGGCGATTTAGCTCTTCTCTCAGCCCTCACTTCGCTTCCTTTCAGGCCATCATCTCTCAGGAAGGTGGCACATTCATCTTTGATCTGCACACCTCAGCTGTCGCTCCCTTTGTGTGGCTGGACGTGGGAAGCATCCCGGGGAGATTTAGTGACAACGGTTTCCTCATGACGGAGGAGAGACGGCGTGTGCTATTTTACCCTTGGAAGCGCACCAGCAAGAGTGAACTGGAGCAGTCTTTTCACGTGACCTCCCTGCGGGATATTTACTGAGGCCCAGGCTGTGCTCAGCGGCGGGACCGGCGTCTGCCCAGCGCCGGCTGGGGAGGGAGACGACCCAGGCGACCGGAAGCCGCGCCCGAGCGCTCCGCCGCTCCGCCCGCGCTGCCAGGGACGGTTTGCGCAGGCCACGTCCCGGGCCAGCCTGTGCCCGCCGTCCGTGCAGCTGGGCCGGCTGCGTCTTCAGCCCGCGCCCCCGGCCTTGGCGGCCCCGGGACCGGGACCCCGGCGTTGGCGCGGCGGGACCGGGACCCCGGCGTTGGCGCGGCGGGACCGGGACCCCGGCGTTGGCACCCCGGGACCGGGACCCCGGCGTTGGCACCCCGGGACAGAGACCCCGGCGTTGGCGGGACAGGGATCCCGGCGTTGGCACCCCGGGACCCCGGCGTTGGCGCGGCGGGACCGGGACCCCGGCGTTGGCACCCCGGGACCGGGACCCCGGCGTTGGCGGCCCCGGGACACAGACCCCGGCATTGGCACCCCGGGACCGGGACCCCGGCGTTGGCGGGACCGGGACCCCGGCGTTGGCGCCCCGGGACCGACTGCACGCAGGAGCCCCTTCCGGGGTCTCGGGCGCGCGGCGCAAGGTGGGCGGAGCCAGGCGGGGCGCCGGGGAGACGCCGCCGAACCGGCCCTGCCCTGGGCGCGGGCAGGAGGCTCGACTTCCTGACGGCGCTCTCCCGGCGGTGTTGACTGCTGCCGTTTGATTGCTTTCTTGAGTAGGATTCTTTTCTCATTTGTGGGTTTTGGTGTAAAATAGTTTATAAACAGTAGCAACTTTTTTAAAAGGCTGCTTGAGTGATCCTTCTTTGAAAACTGAGCTCGCATTGGAATGGATGTCAGTGTGGTCATTTCGAAAACGTTGGGGTGTCGTCACCTGTGACAGCCTGTGGGCTCCAGACCTGGGCGACTCCCGTGAGCTTTCCAGTTCGAACCTGTGAATCGGACTTAAACCTGTTGATCCTGACCGCAAGGTGGCACTCCCTTCAGCTCGAGTTTAAATCATTTTATTTATATTATTTAATTATAAATTGCTATGAAATGGAGATAATAATCGCTTACCGTCAAAGGTCATTGTGAGGACTAAACAAATAGGGTGTGGAACAAAATAAATGCTAAGTCAACGGTGGTTGTACTTTTTAACAACATAATCATTATCTCTGATTTAGTTCTTGAAGCAATAGTAAAAATGAAGTAAATACAGGCAAATCATAAATTCTTACGGGTAAATTCTTATGGGCAAATTCTTTCTGAAAAAGATATCAGAAAAGAATAATTTGTAAAGGAAGAATAAATGAATGAACATAAATATATGCTGACAAGTTATAAAAGGAGAGGAATGTGCTGTATACATGTTAATATTTTTGTAAGAGAACAGAAATAGTCAAAACGTCCTCCCACAGTTCACGTGTGGCAGTGAGGTTAGTCATTTCTACCACTTTAATATATTTATTTCGCCAAATTTACTGGCCTCGAGTCTGATACACTGACTCTTAGCCTAGGGTTTCTGAGGTTTTTCTGTTCGTAGTTGTGCAGTCAATAAGGAGAACAAAGAGACCAGGATCGGGCTCAGGGTGGTGCTCTTGCAAAGAACATTCCAGAGAGAGGAAGAGGTCAATTCACAGGATCCTCTCTGCCCATTTCAAAACCAAGAGAACAGTAAAAATAGCCATTTTCTCATTCACTAAAACTGTTTTGATTTTTTCTCTTACTTGACTTTTCATTGTGATACATTTTCAAACTAGAAGTCTCTTGGAAAACAAATAGATCCTATTCTCTGTTGGAATGAAGGTGAGCTAGAGTGCAGGAGAAATAAAGACATGCTTCCCAAACATTTCTAAAGCGACAAAGACCTGAAAACAGAAAGAATATTCTCTTGGACTACCTCTGGCTCTCAGATATGAAACTTATTCCCTATCTTGTAAGGTTCAAGGAGGAAAAACAAGTAGGCATTGTTTGTGTGGGAAATTCTTAGCATTTGAAAATATTCCCAGAGTCTTTCGTGACTGAATGCGATCTTAGCAATTCAATAAACATATGAAATTAAAAGCTTTGGGCAGAAAAGGCAGTAATATTTCCGAGTGCATGGGGAATTCTTGTTTTTTAATTGGTTCATCGGAAGTATGAGCCAGAGTGCTATACGAAACTCTCAGAATCGCAGACAAGACCAGGTGTTAAGACACATTTTATGTTCTAACGTAAGGATTTATTCATTCATTTATGAAGCATTTATTGCGGGCCACTCTGGACAGGCACTGTCCTTTTCCCTGGGAGTATGGCAGTGAGGAAGGCAGACAAATCCTTGCTCTCAAGGACCATCTGTGGTAGGAGAGAGACGGAGGTGAACAGGTGAGGCAGTTCCAGCCGATGACAAGTGCTGTGAGGTTGATGTGACCATGTTGGGGAGCCGTGGCAGATAAGGCCATCACGTCCAGCACTTTAGGACAGTCTTTTTGGAAAGTTTATATTAATAAAGTAAAATTTTTTCAGTTGAGAAAGGAAAGGTGCGAGTGTGATGCAGCTGCACCTGAGGTCGGCCTCAGCCCCTAAACACAATGATCGAGTCCCTTTGTGCCACGTCACGTACACAGTGAATGGCACAGTGACACCCAGGTTGCCTGGAGTTCTCAGGAAATGGAGCATTCTGGGTCACAGATGTTTCTGTTTGAGAACTAGCACTCATTCCTGGCTCACGATACATGTGGGAGCAGCGCTCTTATCCCTATTTTGCTGCTGTTACCATGGCTTTTGTGAAATGAGCTGGTCTCGGGGGCCGGTCCATACACAGCCGGGAGTTGTGTGGACACCGGCAGCCGTCACCTCACGGCCAGCCCCTGCTCCTCCCTGCTCACGCAGGTGGCTGGGTCCAGCCTCGGGGATGGCATCATCACTTGTGTACCAGTCCTGTCCCCTCTGCCAGTGATCGGGGCAGGGTTAGGCTGGTGACGCAAATCTGGCAAATGAAACGCAAGTTGGTGTCTGACACGGGCTTTCTGGAGCGAGTTTCCTGCCTGGGCAGAGACAGCTGCAGTGAAACTCCGCCGGCGGGTGGCGTCGAGAAGCTGCCATTTGAGGGCCTGACACCTGCCTCTTTGTGATTTTGAAGAAACACTGTGGACACATAGGGAATGTCAGAAATACTGAGCTGCTAAACTCACCCTGCAACCATCTAACTTTGGTCTTAGAATCCGAGAAAAACGTAAAGCCTGTTTGTTCAGTGCACTTGTAATCAGGTGCTGATCTCGGCCAGAAGCGCCGGGACCACGCGGCGGCCGGCACGGCTGCCAGGGAGACGCGCTTGTCAGGGCGGAGGGCCTGGGGGTGGGAAAGACTCCCACGCAGAGATTGAGATACGCAAGAGTGAAAAAGTGTACTCTCAGAGGGACAGAACGAGAGCGTGAAAAGGGCAGAGGGGAGAGAGCAGGGACTGGGCCTGCACGAGGACTTGCCACTCTTCTCCCCCGTGAGGGTCTGTCTCATCTCCATGTTTCTGCCTCTGGACGGGAGCTGCTTCCGCCCCGAACCCGCTCCCCCTCGGCGCCTGCGGGCCGGTGCACTCGCTTCTCGGCTTGGTCTCTGGGGACTTTGGGGACGGTCGTAGGCACAGGTGGAGAGTGGCAGGGTCCAGGTTTGGTTTATTTTGGTGGAGTCCACCACTGGGGAGGTGGCATGGAGGGGCGCCGCCCCCACCAGTCTGCACCCAGACATGGGACACCGGGAAAGGCTTCAAGGTCACACTCTGAGTCAGAGGGTGGGGACGTCCCTTCTCAGACCCAGGTCACTAGGTCTTGGTCTGACTCGGATTTCTGGGGATTCCTGGTGTCTGGTCAGAACTCCAGCAGTCATCTGAGTTGGGGACGCCCTCGCAGGCTGACCAGAGACATAAGAGCACCCCCAAAACATCCTTTCCAACATTCAGTCACAACTTTGGGCCTCACTGACCCCATCCAAACGGTGAGTAAATACATGGGCAACACTTGGTTGGAACTTGGGGACTCGTTGACCAATGTCAGACATTTAGTAAATGAAATGGCCAGGAAATCTGGCCCGAGAATGGGTGGCGTGATCCCTGCCCTGCTGCTCCAACTCCTGTCCCGCTGGCCGGCCAAGAGCCCGACTCCGCCGCCGCCGAGCTGCCGTTAAGCTCGCTGGACTTCGCGTCTTCGCCTGCCGGCCTCTCGCCTGCACCTCTCGCCGCCCGCTTTCCAGACAGTGTTTCTCTCTCGGAGTCTGTTCCTCCTCCCTCCTCCCTCCTCTCTGTCTCCTGTCCCTGCCCTGGCCACGCCTGCTCCGGCTGCCAGTCCGCCCCAACCGCCCGCCCGCATGGAAGGAAGGCCGGGCCGAGGGCCTTGCAAACCACTCGGGGCCGACATGAAAATCCAGCGCTGTTTCTTTTGCAACTGTCTGAGACTTTCCGCCTCTTTACTAGTTTCCATCTGGATTCTAGGAAAGGCACGATCCGTCGTCACACGGTGCTTCGTCTCCAGTCGGCCCCAGCGTTCGGCTTAAACTCCAGACACTTGAAGAGGGCCTCAGACTCCTTGAGCAGCACTAGACGCCCGGCCTGGAAGGTCTTTGGTGACCGAGAGGGGAGAGGTGAGGCAAAAGAAGGTGGGACTGACAGCCTGAAAGCAGAAGGACAAAAAGCTTTTCCAATAGTGGCTGCAGCTGCCAGAGTTTCCCAGTTACTCACAAAGGCCCCAGGCAAGAAGACAGCCAGGCCACCCTTTCGCTTGTGTCCCGGTCCCAGGCCCAGCCCTGGTGGGCGACAGCCGGGCACAAGTCACTGAGTCTGTGTCTTAGTTTCTTTAACACACTGACTGCCACACTAGAAAAAACATTTTTTCTTGGGGCCACAGTGTTTTATTAAAATGATCTTTCTAATTTTTTATTTTGTATTGTTTTTCCATGTGTGAGTTATATGCAATGCACTCCATGTTTGTAGAATTAAATTGTCAATATTAATTGTAACAATAAGAATATCAACAAGTAAGGTTTGCACAAATCAGCTGCAGGGTTTTGCTTCACCAGGCCCCGGGCTCAAAACCAGCCTGAGTTAAATACAACTCACGTGGCAGTCGGTGCGTTAAACGTGGGGTTAATAGCACCTGCCTCGCAGGTAATTGTGAGGACCAAAGAAGGAGGCGATGCACAGAGCATAGGAGCGCACACCACTGAGCAAACGTGAGCTGTTAGGAATGTGGCCGCCACTGAGCCGTGGGGCTCGCCTAGCGGGGCCGGAGCAGCACTGCTGGCGGCTGCAGGCAGGGCCAGCTAGGAGGGACCTGGACCCCCGCCCACCCGCCTGGGCACCCTGAAGATGTAGGTCGTATTTCGCCAACAAATCATGGCCCAAACCGCGTTTTAAAAAGGTGATGTTGGAATATAGATGTAAAAGTCTAGCAAGGAGAATTCTTAATGTGTTTTGGGACCATTATGCAAAAAACAAGTGGAATTTATCCTAAAAGAGTTGAAACAGTATATAAAATCTATTAAAACTATCCCACCTCAAATATCATAATTATCTTAATTAGCTGTTTCTTGCTTTGTGTTTTTTCCTTCTAGGGTCTAAGGAGACAAAAAGAATTGCCAGTAGCTGAAAGAGCCCGATATCTGTGCCTACTAACATGGGCATTTTCCGAACGACCTTGCCAGTGTGGTGTAGCAGTTAAGGGCTCTGACTTTGAAGTCAGATAGGCTTAAGTCTAGGACATTTTTTTAAATTTGTTACAACTGATTTTCAAAAATTATAACTTCTTATTGTGAAATAGTTTTAGACTCACTCAAGAAATTCCAAAAATAGTACAGATAGTTCCCATGTATCCTTACCCAGTTTCTGCTGGTGATAATATCTTAGGTAACCGTAGAACCATTGTCAAAACCAGGAAACTGACACTGGTACAACACATTCCAAAGCACACATCTTATTTAGATTTTGCCAAGTTTTCGACGGACTTCTTTTGTGATACGTGCATGTGTGTACGTATGTGTCTTTTGTGATGTGTGGGGGTGTGTGTGTGCATGTGTGTGTGTGTTTATACTTCTACGGCTGGTATAACCATCACCACAGTCAGGACACAGAACCGCTTTATCACCACAAGGAAACTCCGTGAGTTACACCTGGATAGTCATGTCCTGCCCCCAAATCTAACTCCTGGCAATCATAGATCTATTCACCATTATTATTTTGTCACATCAAGAATAGAATATAAATGGAATCAGACAGTATATAACCCTTTTTTCAGTGATATTTCCATTTATTTTATTTTTAGTAATAAAATTTTTTTCTATCTCAAAAATAGTTGAATTGCATGTTAACATTTAAATAGGGGAGGGTTTCATGTAAACTGTTAATTTGGCTCTGATGTTCTTATAATGGTCTTGTTTTTAAGCCTTTGTTTGTCTGACCCACCATAGCAGGTGTTCTCACTTTATAATCAAAGCATCCGCACAGATGGGGCCTGGGGCTTGGCGGTGGGACGCCCTTGAACCTTACGGGGCGGCCCGGGCACCTGGTGTCCTCCCTTGAGGGAGGCTGGTCACTGCGTCCCTGCACTTGGCTGGTGGCACGGGTGAGGAAGGCGGTGGGGACACCCAGTGCAGAGGGGGTGGAGGAAGGACCCAGGCTCTTTTGTAATGAGATCTTAGCCAAAGCTGGGTGACTGGCTGCCCCCCAGCCACATTTTTGGTATTTGAACTGAAAGAATTTTAACTTAGTCAACTTACAAACATACGAGTGAGATTTTGCCTTGTCAGAGATCCAAATCGCATGTGTGTATGTACATGTGTGCATGCACGCGCATGTGTGTGTACACGTGTGTTTGTGCATGTATACATGTGTACGCACGTATGTACATATGTGTAGGCATGTGTTCATGTGTAGGCATGTGTTCACGTGTATGTATGCATGTGTGTGTATGTGTACGTGTATGTATATTTGTGTGTGCGTGTATGTATGCGTATGTGTGTATGCATATGTGTGTATGCGTACGTGTATGTGTGTATGTATGCGTATGTGTGTGTGTGTGTATGATTGCATACATGTATGTGTGTATGCGTGTGTGTGTGTGTGTGCAGAGCAGTGGCCACAGGCGCACACTCTGGTAGTGAACTCCAATGTTCTGGCTCCAACGTGTATGTACCCGCCTTGGGCCAATCTCTCAACCTCTAAGCCTCAGCTTCCTCACCGTTAGGGTGAGTTACCCGTAACAACTATCTCCCTCGTCGCCGTGCGGATTAAGCCTGGAGGCGACGCCAAGGCCAGGATGCGCAGTGGCGAGCGGCCGGCTGGGACGGGGCCTGGGCCTCACACCCGCTTGCCGAGGTGGAAGGCAGTTTAAGGCTTCTCAGCTCAGGGAACATGATCACAGGCTTCATGACCTACGCTGAAGGAGAAAAATTCAGACAAAGCTGAAGACGTTTCTGATTCTTTTTTTTTTGTAAGGTTCTTTGCAATTTCATAGAAGCAAAAAAAAGCGTAGCCGCGGCGAACGCCAGCTGCGGGCCGCGCGGAGCTGCGCCCCCGCGGATGGCGCGGGCGCGGGCAGGCCGGGGCGGGGCGCGGGAGGCCGTGGGAGGAGCCGGGCAGGCCGGGCGCGGAGCGCGGGGCAGCCGAGGCGCGGGCGCGCGGCAGGCCGGCGGCGGGGCAGGCCGGCGCGGCAGGCGGGGCGCGGCGCGGGGCAGGCGGGCGCGGGGCGGGCAGGGCCCAGGCCGGCGGCCGCCGTGGCGGCGCAGGAGTCGCAGGGCCGGCCTAGTCCGCCGCAGAGCCGGGCGCCAGCGCCCTGGATCGCGTGGATCCCGAACCGCGCTGAAGAAGGGAAGAAAGCGGGAGGAAGGGGATGGAGGTAGGAAGTGGGAGGGCGAGAGGAAGGGAAAGAAGGGTTGAAAGAGAGGAGGGGTGGGCAGGGGGCGGCGGCGCGGCCGGCTGCAGGCGCACAGAGCGACTCTGCTCTCTGCTTTTCAGTTCGCACACGAGCCCAGGCTTATGATCTTGTGATTTTTCAGCTCCACGGTGGGGTTATTAAATGCATTTTCCACTTGGGGTATTTTTGACTTGCAGTGGGTTTGTCAGGACGTGACCCCGCCTCGGGTGGAGCACGCGGGCTTCGGTCCCCGTCGTGGCTCCCGTGGCAGGGGGCATCGGAATGCTTTTTGACCCCAGTTTAATCACTGTGAATCTATGAAAACTTGGCACCGGGCCTCGGGCTGGGTGACTGGTGGGGAGAAGTCAGGTGAGCTAACAAAAGGCACAGTAACAAAGCAATCAGGAGAGGGCTGGAACCGAGTTACAGGCATGCTGTGAGGACAGGCCCAGCACTCTGCCGACGAGGGACCAGGACGCGGGGTGCACATGCCACTGGCCATGCAAGACGTGCACTTGGCCCGGCCGGGGAGGCAGGGCCCAGCGGGCGCTATGACTTCCCAGATGGAAAGTGGGATGGGAAGGACGCTCGCGGCCGCTTTTCCGTCGGGCTGAGAGGCGCACGCCACGAGCACAGACGCTGTCCCCACGCCCGGCGGGTGAAGGCACCTCTGCTACTGCGGCGCCTGGCAGTGCCAGGAGCTGCCCGCGGTGCGACCTCGAAGACCAGAACAAGAACGTTTCCTTCTGGCAGCCCTGCCCTGGTGGCAGCACCTGCCCGTGGGGCAGCAGTGGGTCTTCACAGGGATGTCACTGCTTGTCCCTTTGGGCCTCTCTGGTCCAGGCCCCGCATGAACAGGGCCGCCCAGGGGCAGCTTTCTGGAGGCCCGGCCTTGAGCCATGGGGGGAGGGGAAGGCAAGCTTCTCCTTCCCTCTCCTGGGACGTGCAGTGACCTGCCCCTGGCAGTAGCCGCGTGCAGAGCGAGGCCGGGAGCACAGTGCGGGCGGAAGCCCGAGTGCTGGCCTAGCGCTGGCCCTTTACACTCGACCAGGGACCTCCGGGCATATCAGCACCTCTGTCCTCCTGTGGACAATGGCAGGAATGAAAACCCCTACCTGGCTACTTCCCAGATTGTTATCAACATAAATATTGGGAAGTATTTTGTAAGTGAAAGCACTCAGTTAAACTTTTTGTTGTTTTGCAAGAGTTTTTTTCAAAATTACAAAAAATGTATTTCAAAAGCATAAAGGAATATTTGCTTTTTTTTTTTTTGAGGCAGAGTCCCACTCTGTTGCCCTGGCTAGAGTGCCATGGCGTCAGCCTCGCTCACAGCAACCTCAAACTCCTGGGCTCAAGCGATCCTCCTCCTCCTGCCTTAGCCTCCTGAGTAGCTGGGACTACAGGCATGCACCACCACGCCAGCCTATTTTTTTATATATATATTGTCCAGCTAATTTCTATTTTTTTAGTAGAGACGGAGAATCTCGCTCTTGCTCAGGCTGGTCTCGAACTCCTGACTTTCAGTCATCCTCCGGCCTTGGCCTCCCATGGTGCTGGGATTACAGGTGTGAGCCACTGTGCAGGGCCCGAACATTTGCATTTGAATAAGGTGATGACCAGGGGTACTGCTAATCGGGGGATCCATGGCCTGAGGTTTTTCATTCGAATTTTAACAAAAACACTCAAGGTTGTGCGCTACCGCCTTAGGAAAGGGCCGGAGCGGTAATGCGGCGCTGACTCGGCCCCGGGCCTGCCGTGCCGCGGTGAGTGCTCCTCGGGACTCATCCTGCCGGCCTCGTCACGCCCGTGTCCTGGCGCCCAGGAGGAGCCCTGGGTGGCGGGAGTCTAGAACTCGGCTGTCTGCTTCTGCCCGGCGAGAGTGCTAGTTCCCGAGAGCCGGCGTCTCCTCTGCCTCGCTCGCCCGAGTGGAGGGCGTGGCAGGCTGGGAGGGCACAGGAAAGACGAGCGCCCCTTTCCGGGGCGGCCGCCCAGACGCAGCCCGCCGCGTGGCGCCTCGCCGGAACCGAGAGTGTTTCCGGGGCCGCGGGGTTTCATTATGAATAGAATAAAAACTTCGAAAACAAAATGACCCTTTCTAACTTAATGAACAGGGCACATGACTGAGCTGTTTGTGACTCACGACAGGCTAGCTGACCTTGTTCCGGAGAGCTGCGACTGCGCGGGCTTCGCGAGGCGCGGGCCCGCACTGGCGGGGCGACACTGGCGGGCGACTGCCGCAGTTGGCTGCGGGGCACGAGGGGCCGGCGGGGTCTCCGCGAGCCGCGGCGGGCACGGGCTTTGCTGCTTCACGCACCCGCCACCGCGAGCGTTTCCTCAGGATTAGCCGCGGCTTCGCCCTCCACGCGCCCTCCCGAGAAACGGCTCCGCCTGCGCTGCGGGCCTCTGCGCATGCGCGCGAGTCAGGGCCGGAGAGCGCCCGGAGGTGCAGCCCGGAAGGGATGCCGGCCCGTGTCACCGACATCCACAGCCGCCCACACCGGGACGGAAGTGGGCCACCCCACCTGGGGCCACGGGACCGAAGCATCTCTGCCACAGCGTGAGGAAGGAGCACCCTCAGGACGCCCCGGGTGCTCTCTGCGGGCGCGTTCCCTTCCGGCCGAGGGCGCGGACCGCCGGAGCCTGCGCGCGGAGCGCTGCGGGGAGAAGGGCTCGCCTCTGCCGGGTGCGGGTGTGCGTCACTAAAACACCGACTCACAGCAGGAGCGCCCACAGTAACGCTTCCTACGTGCCTCAGGACCCTCATCTGTAAAGCAGGGGCGGAACCCTTACCTCAGGGGTTTTGAGCAAGTAGTAAGTGATGCTGCACGATGGCCGCCCGCCGCGGTGTCTGGCACGAAAAGATGCCAAGAAATCCTGGTCGAATACGCATCTTCATTCCTGGAAGGTGGTTGTTTGATATTTCAGTGAAGTAGCCATTTTGGAAAGAGGTATCAACGCGACAGTGGTGAGAAGGTGCTGTCTCAGCCCCTTCCTCCGTCTCATGCTAAGAAGGTTGAACAACTTGTGGAAAAATTTTCACTTGTCCAGGGTGACAGAAGGAGGCCATCGTACACACAATGGAATCCATATGATAGAATGACATTATTTAATGTCAAGCCCTTCTTCTGTGTCTCCCCCAGCGCAAAGCTGAACGGCGCGCCTAGGACACCAAGGGACAGGGGTCGCAGTCCTGAGACTGGGCTTCCAAGCAGCCGGGCTCCAGGGAGCCAGCTAGAGGAGACGCCCCGTCGCAGGTGTTTATACGGAGATAAAAGTCTGGATGACCCGTCTAGGAAGGTGACCTTTAAGATCTTAAATATGGCCGGGCGCGGTGGCTCACGCCTGTAATCCTAGCACTCTGGGAGGTCAGGAGTTCGAAACCAGCCTGAGCAAGAGTGGGACCCCATCTCTACTATAAATAGAAAGAAATTAATTGGCCAACTAATATATATAGAAAAAATTAGCTGGGCATGGTGGCGCATGCCTGTAGTCCCAGCTACTCGGGAGGCTGAGGCAGGAGGATCGCTTGAGCCCAGGAGTCTGAGGTTGTTGTGAGCGAGGCTGACCCCACGGCACTCACTCTAGCCTGGGCAACAAAGCGAGACTCTGTCTCAAAAAAAAAAAAGATCTTATTTAACCTACTAAGTTCTGTGATCTTTAAGAAAATAAACAATTTTATTTTCATCCTCTCTTGACTGCTGGGCCTCCCCCAATCCTGGGAAAGTACAAATCAGAAAGAAAATTTCCCCCAAAAGCGCAAAATAGGAAGTAGAAAAAGACGCAACCACCTCCAGCCAACAAATAAGTCATGTTTTAGCTTCTTCGCTAAAGATGCTAAAGATGTTAAAGATGTTGGGGAAGGGGGAGGGCAAACCCAGTCACTTTAACCAAGCAATGTGTCCGCTGAGCGATCCCTCGGGTTCATTTTGCCTTTTGGTTGGGTCCATGGTCCCATCGTCTTCGTACAGATCTGCATGCATTTCTTCTCTCTCTTTTAAATAAAGCATCTTGTTGTCAAAGACTGCAGGCATCATTAAAGAAAAGTCTTTGAATGCCGGGCACGGTGGCTCACGCCTGTAATCCTAGCACTCTGGGAGGCCGAGGGGCGGATTGCTCAAGGTCAGGAGTTCGAAACCAGCCTGAGCAAGAGCAAGACCCTGTCTCTACTATAAATAGAAAGAAATTAATTGGCCAACTAATATATATAGAAAAAATTAGCCGGGCATGGTGGCGCATGCCTGTATCCCAGCTACTCCGGGAGGCTGAGGCAGGAGGATCACTTGAGCCCAGGAGTTTGAGGTTGCTGTGAGCGAGGCTGATGCCACGGCATTCACTCTAGCCAGGGCAACAAAGCGAGACTCTGTCTCAAAAAAAAATAAAAATAAAAAAAATAAAAATATATATACAAAAAATTAGCCGGGCATGATGGCGCATGCCTGTAGTCCCAGCTACTCGGGAGGCTGAAGCAGTAGGATCGCTGAGTCCCGGAGTTTGAGGTTGCTGTGAGCCAGGGTGACGCCACGGCACTCACTCTAGCCTGGGCAACAAAGCGAGACTCTGTCTCAAAAAAAAAAAAGAAAAGTCTTTGAGATCAGATAGGCCTGCCTTTGACTCTGGGTGAGTGATTTCAACTTCAGTCCCGTTTCCTTGCTGTGTGGAGGGGGTTAGACACTTGCCTCCCAGGGGTGTCTGGAGAGCTAGGGCCATCAGCCCTAGGGCCATGTGATGAATGGCCCCGTCTGGCTGGCTCTTCCCTTCTGCCAGAACGCGCAGGCCGCGGCAGGGCGGCGGGAGCCGGAAGGAAGGCGTTGCTCCCGACGGGCCTGGAAGCCTGCAGAGCGCGAAACCTCAGGACAGGACTGAACTCTGCGGAAGCTATTTTTAAACGGCCTCCTGCGGTGACACAGGCTTTCTGGGAAGGTTCCTTTCGGGCTATTGCAGCTTCCACCTGGCTCTGTGCGCCTGCTGGCCGCCCCCATGCGCCCCTTCCCAGACGGCCTTCCCCGTGCGCCCCTTCCCCTGGCGGCCTCCCGGCGCCCCTTCCCCGGCGCCTCCGTGCGCCCCTTCCCCAGGCGGCTCCCCCGTGCGTCCCCTTCCTGGCGCTCCCACACGGTGCGCCCCTTCCCCTGGCGGCCTCCCCCGTGCGCCCCTTCCCCTGGCGGCCTCCCGCCAGCGCCGCGCAGAGGCTAGGCCCGCACTGCGCCCTGCGGGCGTGGGGGGGGGGAGAAGAGCGGGTTTCTGGGGCGGGGAAATAGGGCTGACTCTGCGTGGGCTGCGGTTGCTCCTCCTCTGCAAGCCAGCATCTCTGGCAAGTACTCTGGTGTGAGGCTGTCCCGCGGGAGACCTGAAGCGTGGGGACAGACCTGAAGCGCGGGGACAGTCCTGAAGCGCGGGGACAGTCCGCTCCACGCCTACCGCTTACACCTCAGCCGTTACCCAACGTGCTCGCGGAATTGCGGCTCAATTCTGGGAGCATAAGATGTGACAGCCTGAGGGCTAGAGGGGTGATTCAGTGGCTGAGCACTGGAATCTTCTGGAGAGGAGCAATCTCCTTACACACCTCGCAGCTGGGGCCGTGCGGGCCGCAGTGCAGGCTGCTGTGCAGACGCCGCTCTGGTTCCTCTCCACAGGGCGACCCAGGATGACCGGGCAGGGGTCGTCGTATTACGTTTCATGACCTAACCTTGGAAGTCACTGGCATCTCTTGCACCCTTAGACTCACAGAGAGGAACACGGCTCTCCCTGCAGTGGGAGGGGCCGGCGTCCGCTCCCGGGTGAGCTTGTCCAGCTGGGTGACAGCCGTCTTCCGAGCGTGGAGCTGGCGGGGAATGGAGGCATGTGCTGCTTATTTGACAATTAAGAATGAAGGAAAGTCAGAGTTGTATTTTTCCACTTTGTACAGTTTTCAAAAACTGGAATATTGGAGGTGGGTAGGGGTGAAGAAATGGCATTGTAACAGAAAACAGAAGTAGAATTTTCTTTTAAAAAGATTTAATTTGGGTCTTTGCCTGTGAGAGTGGCCACTGCGTTGGTGCTCTGGGGCTTGGACCCTGGCTAGCCAGAAAATAAACCTCCTCTTGTGTAATTACATCCTCGATGTCTCTGCTTTTCTGTCCGGTGGGGCTGTGGAAGGTCGGTCCCTAACATTTGGGGGCTCGTCCGGGATTTGCCTTCCCCACAGACTACCGCATAGAACTCAGGGCTGAGGGAGGAGTGTGAAAATCCACCCCGGGCTAGCCGGGTGTGGTGTTGGGCAAGGGACGCCGAATCCCCTT